AAGTTCAAAAGAGCAGCATTTATTTGAAATAAAAATCTTTTATAACAAGGTAAAAGCTTTTACTGCTACTTTTGATTAATTTAATGCACTCTTGCTGAGTAAAAAAGTATTAATTAAAAAAAAGTAATAATCTTATTGATTACTTTTGCAAGTCATATGGACCACTTCTACATATATATACACACAGTATACAGTGTATATATACAGTGGGTACGGAAAGTATTCAGACCCCCTATACATGCATACATATATATATATCTACCTTTTGTGTTCCAAGAAAAATTGAAGTACTTCCATTCCAATTTTAGGATGAACTACAACTTAAGTATACATTTTATTCATCAAGAAAACAATATGGTTAATCACAGCACCAGAATACTGAAATATGAAATGCTTACCATGATCTACAGAGCAGCTATGGCTCTTGATGTTTGCTGGAGACCTCTCTTCTGGGTTCCTGTTCTTGGAGTTGTGTTTAACAGCTTCCAAGTCCATAACCTCTGCCTCCTGCAGTTTGTTCTGATTCTCATCAGAGGCTGTTAGGAAAGACGAAATGATGTCCTCTGCGGTCGGAGTTATTCTGCCCGTTTCCTTCCATCTTACAGACTTCCTCATCTCAGACTCCTCCATAACTGCAAGGCGATCACAAAGAAGATAGACGGTCATGAAAATGAATCTATATCTTCATCAGAATTCAAGAGGAAACATTTTAAAAGACTTGAAGTCAGTTTTTCAAATTCTTTACCCTGCTGTATTAGGTACATGCTGTTCATATTTGCCATCAGTGACAATGCAAAACATTTATCATAAAATGAATCTTTGAATCCAAAAGAATTCAGAGAGAAAACACAAGTAGGACAGGTTTGGTGTTGTTGGACGTTTTTTCAAGCAGATCTTAGGCCTTACTTGAGGAAAAATTTGTGAAGCTGTCAAACAGGATGTCCTAACAGCGAACCAATGCTCACTTCAGTTACTCCTGAAGCCGGCAGCAAGTGCAAACTGACAGGTGTTATCAAAAACAAGAGCCAGTTATAGCAGCAATGCATAATTCATGGGATAGGGGCTCTTGTCTTTCACTCTGTCCAGGCATTTCGAAGGATGAGCAGTGAAACCAGAGACAGAGAGATGGAAAAAGGGTGAAGTGTGGATGAGTGTCCTCATTGTAAATAAAGTGTCACTGCCAGTGTGGTAACAGAACAGGGTGTATGATGAGCTGGAAAAGGCTGAAAGAATAGTCGAGATGTTTCTTGACATGACCACAACTGGCCTGATCGTTGTCAAGATGAACCCTTATGAAAGCTGAACAGTGTGAACATATAACAACAGGCTGAGCAAATAATAAGATATGCCGAGACTGACACTGTACCTAATGCAGCAGGAGGGCAACAGTTTTGTTTGCACAAATTGTGCTGAAATATATAGTTTAAGTATTGAACTAATTATTTATTTAATATACTGTGCATACACACTTCCATTCATGGGATGTTTTTGAAAGAAGTCTCCGATACTCTCTGATTTATTTGATCAAAAATACTGTAAAAACAGTAATATTGTGAACTATTATTACAATTTAAAATAACCGTTTTAAATTTTAATACTTAAAAATGTAATTTATTCCTGTGATGGCAAAGCTGAATTCTCAGCAGGCATTACTCATGTCTTCAGTGTCACATGATCCTTCATAAAGCATTCTAATATGTAGATTTTAATCATTGTTGAAAATATTATTTTTGTGGAAAATGTGATATATTTTTAAAGGATTTTTTTTTTTATATCAAGTTCAGAAGAACAGCATTTTCTTGAAAAAAATAATTTTGTAACAATGTAGAAGTCTTTACTGTCACTTTAATGTAGTTGACAGCAATGTAACTTAATGAAGTTTACTTTTTACTAAAAAATGCTGGGGGGTTTTGTAATGGAAACATATTTCAGAATTGTTTATATTGTTCCAAGTACCTTGAGGTACCATGTAAAAATGGCATTTTCAAATGTCAATCATTTAATACCATTGTATATATTAAAAACTTTGTATTACAATAATTTTATACCATGGTACCACCACGGTCCTATGGTTGTGATGCTATTATCTAACAGGCTAATATGTGTGTGTGTGTGTGTGTGTGTGTACCTGTTTTTCTATTCTGGTGTGGTCTTAAACCTGAATACACACAGACTCATGGGGACTCATGTCACGATGGGGACGTAAATTGAGGTCCCCACGGGTAAACAAGCTAATAAATAACACAGAATTAAGTTTTTTGAAAATCTAAAAATGCAGAAAGTTTCCTGTAAGGGGTAGGTTTAGGTGTAGGGTTGGTGTAGGGCAATAGAATATACGGTCTGTAGGCTACAGTAGAAAAACCATTACGCCTATAGAGAGTCCCCACAAGGTGTGTGTGTGTTTTGAGTGAAAATCACAGTCACAGCTTATAATCACTTTTAGAGTGAACTATACTAACATCATTTGACAGGCAAAGTTATTAGTTTGTCCAGATGTCGAGACATGTCTATATTTAACAGCAGCCAGGTGTTCACATGCCTGAGGAAAATATTACATAAATAATATAGTAAATCAGAACCTTTATTGAAGAAAAGAGAAAAGAAAATTAATGTGTTCTCTGCCCCCTTGGTCAACTTTTAAACTTGTAGCTTATTGAACTTCCAATTATTCTACACAATTATGGATTGCTAAATGATTAAATGTAAATACAAACGGGTTAGAAACCCAACATCATAACGTGGATTGGTAAATTTGGTAGGCTACATTACATTACTTCTCCGATGGATCTAGTTTTGCATATTTAGTACCTTGCACACAAACAGTCCACACATGATTGAAAGATGGTGTAAAGGCAGCATGCTTTAGTGTCCCGTGCCCATTTCACAGCGTCCTGCCCTTTATCACTGTTTTATTTCCATCAGAACCAATTCAAAACGAAACACAGACACACGACTCATTGAAATATCCCTGTCGTACTTACGGTTAGTTTCTGTAAAGATGTTACAATAGTCCGCATCTGTAAACACGTGCACACGCAGCGTTCATATCTGTTCCCAGAGCTGCTCAAGCAGAGAGCCCAGACCCCTCTCTGTGAAACACAGACCGATCTGCAATCAGTTTCGATACCCTGCCTGTCTCTGCATCTGTGCGGCTGTTTACGATCCAAACAGGGGCGTTTCTTTTCAAGGTTTCGGTCTCGCTGGGCGTTTAGTGCCACCCATCGGTTCATATGGGGCACTGACATTTGCAAATGTGTTTGGGAGAGAGAAAAACTGACATCAAATTGGCGCCTGTTCATTTTAAAACACATTCAGGTGTCTCAATTATCAATTTCTATTTACCCACAGAATTTATGAGAAATATAACTGCATAAATTACACCTTAATGCAATTTTATATGTAGTCTTGTCAGGTGCACACTAGTGTGTTTTTATAAACTAAATTGATGACTGAGCAGTCTTCACCAACTTCACAAAAGCAAACAATATATAATAATGTCATAATAAGCAGTGTGAACTCCTCAGACTATCTCCTTCAGTTATTATGAATTACACATCATCAACAACAACAGGAAAAAGTTGGTATACAGAAAAAGACTGTTTGTGTTCTGTTTCAGTAATCCATCAGCAGCATCATAGCCTATCCAAAGCTATTCAAAACTTTTTCAGAACTCTTTCCCCAAAATATAAATAAACTGGGCTGACATGACAGCTGTGAGGACAAACATGAAATTGGAGCAGAAAGTAAACGCAACCCATGAAACATGGAGTCATTACGGTGGGCTGCTGCAGTCTGTACTGTCTCTGACTTTATAATAGGGTAGTTTTTATCCTATTGTACCATCTGTGAACTCTGCATTTCATCTCAGCCGGGTAATAGGCCTATGTGTTGTGACAGCACAATGAGCTGATCAGTAGACTCACTGCAATATGTCTGAATGTGTTAGTAATCCTCTGTGAAAAACAAACAGTTTTAATGTCTATTCTTCTTCTTTCTTTTTTTTTGAAGAAAATAATGTTTCTAATCTGATGATTACAGTGAGTATTAATTAATAAATTACTACAATTTTAGTAAAAGCATTACTTAAATACAAACAGTGCATAATAACCTTTTATTAGCGCATACAAGTAAGGATCAAAGGCATTTACAATAAACTTACAAAAAATGACTTCTTTACAGTGTTTTTATCAGCTTGAAGGTGACTCTTGAATGAACTCAAAAAGGTGACTCTCAGAACAATTTGTTTTTATTGAAAAAACTGTATCCCCAAATAAAGGCAATTTTTAACCCTGGCTTAATCCTTTTTTTATTTCACACCAGTTATTTTGAAAAGGAATGGGTTATTACTTTTCAATTTGCGAAATGGAGCCCAATACTGTGTGTCTGAAACAATAAGGTGCTAGAATGATACAACGAGTTGTTTAACAATAAATACATTTTAAACAAAATAATGCTAGAGAAAGATACAGATTAAATGTTGAACATTTTTTACAGATGGACAAGCAGTTATATAGCTCACATGCTCATTGCATGCTATATGTTAACCTAGTAAATATGCCAGTAAGAACATAACCCAGGATTTAAAAATGTGCAATGGGAAATCTTGAACCCTAACTATCCAGAATTAAAATTTGAACAGTGAAAAAGAAAAGTACCCTAGGTTAACCATTGCAAGCCATTCATAGCTTTCTTATAATGTGATGATTTTCAGATGGTTAGAGGATTTGTAAGGAGCCCCTCAAGTGACATGAAGGCAAATAAAATGAGAAGGAAGAAAAAAAAATCATATTTCAATGCTTTTGCGCTCCCCCGAGAACCTTTGCGTACGCTCGCAAAACCTTTTGTAATGGAAATATGAAATATGAGATGGGATGAAAAACTGTAGGCTACTGTATTTCAGCGAGCTGCGAGCGAGTGCAAAGTTTGTCGGTGGATAGTTTCTCGGGGTAGAGACCCCAAAAGCATTCTTCCTCCCTTCCTACTTGTTCCATCACAGTGTCCCCGTACATTTACACGCATATCATTAAATGTATTGCATAACAGGTAAAAGTGATCATGTAACATCTTGGCATGCTATATTCCAACGAACGCTGCATGATCTACCGTCGGCCGATGCCGCAACTTTTGTCTGCACTTTGGTGTAACGCCAAAGCTGGTAACCATCAAGACATGCGCTTTACAGAGGTTAACATGACGCTCTAGCCGTTGAGTGACTTGCTCCAAAGCCTCTAAGTGCTCCAGGGAGTCTACCTCAAACGTTTGCCATAAGTCAACTGCAAAATACATCACACAAATAGCATAATAATTATTGATAGGACACAGCATGGAGTTTAAGCAGAACCATAAACAACCCTACAGTTTTCTATCCTACTGTAGTGCTTACATTTACTTAATGTACATAAGCAAACATATTAACCCTTACATTCACGGGTCCATTTTCCAGGGTCCAACATCAGATGATGCTTGGCATGTTCCAACTCTCGCCTGAGAGCATTATACTTGAGCCTCACCTCTGCTATTCTCTGCTGTCGATGCTCCAGGAATTTCAGCTTTGCACTAAAAAGGACTATACCCTGAAAACGTGGGTGACACAATGTAAGTTCACCTCCATATAAAATGTGAGTGACCTGAGATTAGCATTTGGCCTACCATTACACCACAGGTTTTTATATTAAAGTAATAATAGTTTTTCTATAACACATATACAAACAGTCTTTTAAAACAAAATCAAACACTGTATTCAGCTATCTTCAGTCTAATTCAAATCTTGTCCCACAAAGCCATCAAATACACAGATACACTGAATTACACACTGTGAAATTTATTTAAAACAATACGACCATGACCGCTTACTACAATGAATGAGCAACTATACATTTTACTCTGCAACAAAATACTACTACATAAACTAAAGTGAAAAATAAGAACACAAAAAGAAAGAAAAAAAGAACATACATTCCTGAACATACAGTTTTGTGATAACAATATTGTTTTGATTAGATTAAGCACCATTTGAGAAAAAGTATCTTTACTACTTTGAAAAAATTGTATTTGAAAAAGTATATGAGAACACAACATTGTCAAAATTTCCTGAATATGTACAATACATTGTTGAATGAAAACTTAAATAAATTGTTGAATGAAAACTATACAAATAACACATTTGAAAAACAAAATAATATAAAATATTTCCTAAATTTTCAACAAAAAGTTGCATATTCTTCAGAAATAGAACAAAAATAGTATGTATAAACAATATAAAAGCACATTTATTCTGAATCAATATCTTGTATCTAGTTTGGGTCAGAGTTTAAAAAACAAACCAACAATGGTTTTAAGTTTTGAGAAATTAGTCTTAAGACTGGAATACACTACATGACTTTTAAAATCATTATAAACAAACTCGCGCCAAAACTCTGACTGCTTTGACTTTTGCCAACTAACGCTCTCCTCCGGACTGCAAATCAGGGTAAAAATCTAGGTAAAAGTCGTGTAAGATATCCCAGCCTTTACTTTTAGAAAATAGTGTTGCAAGTCAAGTTAATTGGCTAAATAACAGATTTTTGTGTCTAAGCAATTCAGAAAACTGTAAGAGTTGAATCAAGCACTACCAATTTAATGGACCATGCAAAGACAGCAGTTTGTAAATGAAATACAAAGCAGACAGACAGACAATTTTTTTCATTGACACATTTTGAACCTCACCTTGTTCCCTGCCCCACCTCTCTTCTGTACGCCATCTACATTATCAATCTCATAGACTTTAATTTCATAAGAGTCGGAACCACCCCGATCCACCCAGTGCGTTTTGGGCCCACTGACGGATCTCTTCAGCGACAGGAGGTTGTCTTGGGATGGACGTCTTAGACTGGACCCTGTGGACAAAGACAAGTGAAGACCATATTGTTTTTTTATGCCAGAATGCATTGATTTAAAAAAAATCCTTACCTATGTTGGTTCTTTTCTTTGTACTTCTCATGCCTTTAGCAGCACCAAGCGAGCAGCTCTGATCGCTGATGGAGTTGTGCGTTGAACTGCTGCTGATTGTAGCTTCACTGTCTCTAAGCATGCTTTCATAGCCGCTACTGACCATACTGCTCCTGTTATAGAGTAAAGCCGTTTTACACATGGCAGGAGGCAGCTCTCCACTGAGAACACTGGTGGTATCGCTGGCATGGCCGCTGCAATGGTGTGGTGTCCGTGGAGCTGTGATCCGGCTATATGGGGACGGCAATGTGTGAACGAAAGGTTTCATCGTCCCCAGTTCCTCACATTCATCTAAATCAGACCCACCTTGACTAAAAGCAGAAAGCGAGTCTCTACTGCTTCTTAAAAGCTCAGCTCTTCCTTTCCGGACTGCACCGGGTGACTTCAAACCACTGTTGTCTTGACTTCGGGATAGGGAGAGTGTTGACCAGGAGCTTTGGCTGACAGGTGCTGGTTCAGTAGCCAGGTATAGCATTGCACTTCTGGCTATTCCAGATTCTTCTTTTGTCTCTTTTCTCTTGAGATTGGGACTATTTGTTGACGTTGATGGCATATTGTCTTTGGTCCATTCCACAAGACTGTCTTTCTTGGTATACTGTTTCTTCTCATAAGTTTCTCTTGGACTATGTGGGTTCTTTTGTTCTGTTTTCATGTGAGGGACATCCTTGACGTCTCTCTTGTTGTTTTGGCACATCCAGCTCTGCTCAGGTTTAATTTCACAAGCATATTTTCTAGACTTGGAGACCTCACAGGGGGGGTCAAGTTTAACAATGGCTCCTTTACGTATCTCCTTCACATCTTTAGTCAGGGGCACCTCAGACCAAGTATCATGCTGCGGCAGGTTTTTCGAATCAATGAAGTCGCTTGCCTTGTCAATATGTGCATTGATTTTTGTGTGTTTTACAGCTGCATCTGATGAGGCCGTGGAGACGTCATTCTCTGAAATTTGTTTATTAGAGTCGGAACTATAAAAACTCGCTGTTTGTTCTTCACCTATGCTGCCGATAATCCTGACAGACTGACTTCCTGGCGTTAAAGCCTGGAGAGAGTGTGACTCATGAATACTTAATATTTGTGCCTTTCCTTGCTCAGTGGCCCCATTTATTGTTACCTCCTCAACAACGGTATAGACAAGCTCATCATGTCCATTAAGATCCAGCGGCTTCTGAACAGTCACAGTGATAGTGGCCCTCATCTCTCTCTGTTTTTTTCCTGTACAATGTGGAATGTCTTCATTCAAAGAGGCAGAAACAGCCGGTGGGGAGCTCAAACTAGAAGATAGGGATGATGAAAAAGAAGAGGATGAGGTAGATCTCGGAGAACTCTTGCCGATGGGAGAAATTCGTGTCTCAGATTGCATTGTAGAATCATCCAATATTCTCATTTTACCTTGGTCTTCCAATTTCAAAGATAGTGCAGTGGGCATCACATTCATTATTTTATTATGAGGCTTAGATTTGCTAGGAGATTGGCTGGACAGCATGGGATCAATCGGTTTGACGACATCTAACTGTGGCAGACATTTCTGAATAATCTGAGAATTGGCGGTACTTGGAGTTTCTTCACTGTTGTGAATTATCGCAAATGTTTTTGAGGAGTTTCCTTGTCTGGTACTATTGGATTCTCTGTTGTTTGATGCTTGAATGTCCAATGAATTGGACTGCTTCTCGGTTTGGCTTAAGTGAGGTGATTTGCTCATAGCGTTCACTTCCTGATCTTTGCATAGATCCGACTCTGTTCCGTCTATGTTTCCCAGTCGATTCTGGAGTTCTGCAAACGTGTTGCACTTCAGACACTCAAAATCTGATTTATCTTGCAATATTGTAGGTGTTGACTCTTCTTTAGCCTTTTCTTTTGATATCTGCTTCATGCGATTGGCAATTGGTGGAGAGATTTCACAAAACTTCATCAGCGAGAGCTTCTTGGACTCCAATTTGCTCTTGAGTAAAGATGGAATAATAGGCAAAACCTCTCTGCTTCTATTTGTAACTTCTTTATCTAGAAGGCCAGAAGGATCCACAGAGATAATGGTATCACAAGACGTATCACTCCCAGGGTAAAATGCTGGATCACTAGAGAAACCAGGAGAGGAGAGATCTTGATCCAGTGTCCCTGTAGATTGGAATCTTAGCTTAGTGGAATTATTACATTTCCTCTCGTTGCCTAAGCTTCTTCCTCCAGGCGAGCTTGAGGAAGATTTCTGAAAAAAAAAAGCAAAAATGAAAAACTTAGCTTAAATTCACAGAACTTGAGAAGTGGAGAACATGTCCATAATTCAAAAAATAAATAAACAGACATGTTATAACTTATACGAGATATATAATATTATATATAAAGGATTTATATAAAAAGTAAAGCATGGTCTAAATGAACAGAACCTGAAAACTGGTGAGCATGTCTATAAGCATACCCTTATCTTCTTTTTCTGACTTCGCATTCGAGTCACCGTCTGCATCGTACAAAGGCTTTCTGTAAGGTCTTCAGACAAGGTGGATATATGGGCAATAATTGTGGTGGAGCAGTTGACATTGCTCAGAGAGTCTTGCAAAAGCATGGCTAATTTACTTCCCCTGTAATGAAGAAATTATCACTGATAATTAAATTTACTTAATTGCTTTTTACTTAATTAAATTACTGTGCTTTATTTTCATATACTATTAGTAATTTCCTACGTTTATAATTGAGATATACATAGTCATACCTATTAGGGATGTGATTATGTCTGTTGAGATTGGCTGTGATAAAGTTTCCAAGCTCAGCAAGGCAGACTCCACAGTTGCTTTCTTCCCTCTCCCCCACACAGCTCCCTAAATCAATCAGGCTCAGCTTGCTTTGATCCACATTCACTGAGGAAAGTATATATTTTAATAACACCAGAAATGTCAAAAATAATATTAAAGAAATATAAACAATTTTAAGAAAAAGGTCATATCATAAATGCAAAACAGCCATTTTTAATATGCTAAAATCAGAAACAAGTATGAAATTTCACTCTCCTGGATCAGTATTGTGTGAGAAATGTCATCTAATAGGCCTTTGTATATCCAGATCTGTACTGAGAATCTGCTCATACATATCTCTATATTAGAGCATGAAAAAGCAATTGAACTCACTCCCGGATTTGGTGCTGCTTCCTATGTGCTGTTGGCAAACATGGAGGGTGAAGAACATGTGACAACAATGTGGTGGTCTCCCTCCACTGTCCACCATCCCACTGCGAGATGCAAGAGCTGCATCTAGTAGGAAAGCTGCTCTTTCTGGAGTTGGAGCATTTAGTAAACTGTGGTTGCAAAGCTGGAATTAAGAAAATTCAATAATGAGACTCTCAAGTAAATGGGAATGTCTCAATTAACATATCAATGAGTATGTATTAAATTTGTATTGATTGCTCATGAATATTTAGTATATAAATGTCATGCAAAACGTTGTTTTAAGGAATATTCTGGGTTCAGTATAAACTAAGCTCAATCAACAGCATTTGTGGCATAATGTTGATTAGATTATCACAAAATTAATTTGTGGTACTTGTCCTTCTTTTTATTATAAAAAGCAAAAATTTGGGTTACAGTGGAAGTGAATGGACCAATCCACAAAACTTTAAAATGCTCACTTTTCAATAGTACAGTATAGCCAAAGATACAACGTCTGTGTGTGTTAACATGATTTCATTTGACTAATTCTGTATTACAAACAATTTTTCAATGGCCATGACAATGGACCACCAAAAACCTAAAATAACTGTAAAAATTATGCTTTAAATGGAACAAAAATTGACCCTGTTCATTTCCATTATATGGGCCTAACTTATACTGTTTAAAGAAAACTAACGATGATTAAAAATATTTTTTTAAAGTCATCAACATTATCCCACAATTGCTGTGGATTGTGCGTAACGTGTGCTGTACCTGGAATATTCCTTTAAATGATACATGAGCATTGCATAGGCTTGAATTTAAACTCAGCTGAGGCTTTTCCATCACCCATCTAACTTTCCAAGCAACTGTGCCCTCAGGCTGTAACACACTATTTTTTGCAAAGCTGCACTGGAACAATATAAAAAGCGGTGCACAAATAAATGGAAATTAAAAATAAAGTCCAGATATTAGAACAAAGGAAGTGTGATCGACACTTGCCTGGGTCTTCTTGCAGTTGTCTGTGTCAACATCAGAGAGTAAATCCCTGATGGCATTGTTTTCCCCACAGACCTCTACAGCTGACACGGAAACTGAGATGTTTGCCCATGTCTTGTCTTTCTTCCTGTTAATGAGCTTGAAAAGCCAAGATATGGCACAAGGAATGACTCCAAGGCTTTGAGTGCAACCATCCTGGCCAATCATTGTGTAAGACATTCCTGTAAACCGAAAGAAAGTGAGAATGCCATTTTTTATAACAAATCCCCATTTGGCAAAAAATCCCATGAAGGTTTTGCAGAATAAATTGTCTTTTAGACCAAAAAAATCACTAACTGAAATATGCTTCAATACGTGGCGAATGACTTTGCAAACTGGGGTGTAAAATGCGTTGTGGCAATGTCACGTCCAATTAAATGTAAAGCACTTTACTGGCAGTCAGGCATGGGCCGGTTTAAAAGATTTATGATGTCTGGCTGGGAGCCAAGGGCCAACTTGGAGGCTGGGTAATTCAATCTAGCTAATAGAGAACGATGTCATACTCCAAATGCCTTGTAGAGACTCTTGTCATGATTTTGGGAGAATAACAATTAATAACCTTAAAGGTAAATGACCTGTGATGACCCACTGTGTAGCCTCTATGCCGTCCCTTGAAGTAACAATGTTTAATCTACATTCATTGAGAGGCTCCACAAGTCGCGCACTGTGGCAAAAAAACATATGTGAATCTGAACCTTTTTGTGTCAACACCATGGGACGCAAAGTTATGGAAGCCTGTTTGCCTCAAGAGTAAAAAATGAAAAGATAATTTTGAGATGAAGTTTAAAATAAAACAAAGACAGGCTGCAGCATATAAAGTCACACTGTGCGTTATGAAGATTCAAATATGAGAAATAAGGTCTACAATTATGAGATTAAATATCATAATGAAAGATATTAAGCTACACTGTGAGATGTATAAAGTCGTTTACGTTACAAGCTATCAGAATTTCATCTTACTTTTTGGCCATATAAATAACATATCACCTTTAGAGGGTTAATCGAACATCAAAACTGAGGTAACATGGCACTACGTATAAGATAAAAACATATCCCACATTGATTTAGTATAAATAATAATAGTTTTTCATTATTATGTTGCAATGCCTTACTTGAGCGTTAATCGCGTGATGTCGATCCCTCGATTATATCCAGTATTATTAAAACAACAACAGAGCCAAATTGCATTTTGTCCAGTTTGGGACTGAATAAAATGGAGGAGCTATTCCAATTTTATTTCAAGCGTGAGCGCCATAATCTCACTACATCTAAATATATGAGCCATAAAAGTCTGATGTGTCAAATATGATACAAAATATAAAACGCACATGCAATATATATTATTTCATATGTCATGCTTTATAGGTTTAAAAACGATTTTAATATCACTCACTTACCCACACTGGTTTGTCCAAAGCTTAGGATGCAACCATCAGCTCCTGCAAGCACAGACTGGAGCACTTCACACAAGCTGTTCTCACAAACTTCTGCCTGAAAAATAATACTTCAACTTGATTTTTTTATGACAACACTGTTTCATCATTTGTCAGTTGAACTGTACATAAATTATATGTAAATTTCAAGGACCTTTCACATGGAATCTGTTTCCTGGGATGTGGAATTATTTATCCAAATGTGCATCTAACACTGAGTGAAATCAGCTCAGTTGATTGTACTGGATCAGAATATCCAGATATTGGATATCTGCACTCAAATGTGACCAAATCTGAGAGTGTTGCGGATGTTTGGATATTATGACTCAGATGGGCTCCAGACAAGTAGACAGATCAGTTTTCACATCATAAGACAGAAATAACAAAGCAGTGACCCTGACCTGGGTTGAATCAGGGCCAAAGGCAGCATCAAAGGTGAAGGTCTTTGAGGACACTGTAGTTCCAGCAGTCTGTCTCTGAGGGTTGAAGGTGGGTACATTCAGCACTGTGATCTGTTTCTTGTGCAGGTCCAGTTTGAAAGAATAGGACTGAGATGGGTCAGACATAGGAACCGAACACACTCGCAGCATCACTTTGACCTAGAATTGGTGGAACAAAACCAAAACAATATACTAATTGGATATTACATATAAATATAAAATATTTTTAAATGTACATAAAAAGTGATCAATCCCAGTTGGCAAACATATTTATTTTCAAATATATATTTTTTAATATTTTTAAAAATGACAAAAAATATATTTTGCTAATACAGATTTTAAAATATATTTACAATATATTTTCAAGACATTTAAGTTGCTTATATCTAATTGTATATTTTTTTGGCCATCATTGTAAATACATTAATATTGTCCTAAATATATATATTTAAAAAAAAAATGTATTACTTGCTCCTTGAATAACATTTTGTAATATATTTGGCATGTGTAGGTTTAAATATAAGGTTCAATTATATTTAGACCTTAATTGTATGTAAAATACACACA